GCACTTCAGTTCAGTCTCAGCCCTGCCACAGACTAGCGTGGTACTTTAAGTAGGTTACCCAACTTTTTGGAGTACCAGTTTCTTCATCTGTAAATTGGGGATGATAATCTGTATTTTTAGAGGTTATTGTAATGCTTACCTGAATGAAAAAATGCCTGGACCCCATCAGGAATTTAGAAAATGAATAGTGGCCACGTGCGAATCCAGGCGTACGTAATGGAGCTCAGGCACTCGGTTTGTTGAGCTAGCAATTTCCTGATTATGTTGCACAAAGAAATACCTGTGTTGGAATCCATTTAAATGAAGTTTTCTGGTATATCCACATTTTTATGCCCTAGAGATTTGCTTCAGAATTATTCTCAGCAGAGCAATTATAGGTGAGGCTGCCCTATAATGAGATATCTTTGCTACTTCATTAAATAAACCCCCTGGAATGGGCTCCAAAATGGACCTGCCTCATACCAAATTCCATTATCCTGGGAGTAATCTCATAAGAAGGCCCTGGTATGGCTGCAATCGCCCTGGATACCTAACGTTTACCATAAAGAGAAGGCGTTCTAGAACAGCGATTCCCAAAAGCTGGTTCTTAGACCAATGCTTCACTTGTATTTCCAAGGAGAAATAAAAATAAGACAACTTAGCTTTTGTAAAATTAGGCTATAAACTGCTTTAAAAATATCCTTTCTTCTGAGAGTATGACCTTTTTCAGTTTCTTTTTCTTTCTTTCTGCTCTTTTGATGTTAAACCCATCAGTCTTCTAGGAAGTCACGGTTGTAATAGACAGTGATTTCTGTCATGTTTTTGCATAATACAGAGACAATGTCAGCCACCCCCCTTTTTTGGTTGTTTTAAATTTTACTGGTGTTTGAAATCCAAAAATTCTCAACTAGAGTTAGAAAACACCTGCTTAAAGAGAAGTATTTTCTATGAAGTCGGGGCTGGGCTGAGGAGCCCCTCAAACTGCACTGTGTGTGTAGACTCTGTCAAAATGCAGCTTCAGGTTCTGCAGACCTGGCCCAGTCTTCAGTTCTGGATGTCCAACCCACTCACTACGCCAGTAGCTAAAGCGCGGCGGACAGGGTAAGAGCTCTGCCACCAGACCGCCCGTGTTCAAGTGCAGGCTTTCCCACTTCTGCCTGATGACCCCTGAGCACGTTACGCCCCCTCCCTACTCCCCAGCTTTCTCACTGGTGGCACAATCATCATAGCCCTTTCTCATATGCTTGTTGTGAGGACAAAATGCAATAACGAATGTAAATATTCCCAGAATGTAAAATACAGTACCTGACACATTGAAAGCGCTCCATAAATGTGAGTTATTACTTTAACTTCACAGACCAGTGACTAGAGCACCAAGATATTTAAAAAAGGTTAGCACCTCAAGGGTTCCTACGTGATAAAAACAGAAGAATTGGAAGTTCTGGTGGGTGGGGGCTAAGCCTTGTTCTCTCTTGTCTGACTTGCTCAGTGGGATTGTTAGAAGCCCTGAGTCCTGAAGGGTTCAGACAGAGGTGTCTTAATTGAAAAGCTGGAAGCCTCTTAATGACTAAGATCCTAGGACTGAGATTGAAACGATGCTATTGTTTAGGTTGCATGCCATAAGCTTAGAAGACATTTTGTTTTTCCCATTAGCGACAAGAATTGTCTGATTACTATGTTCTCCATCCTTTATGTTATCCTAAGTCTTCACTAATTATTATTATTCTGCTCATGGAAGTGTAGCTGGAATGTTTACCAATTAAAACTTTTTATTGACAGCCCAGCCATTTATTGAATAGCGGCGTTGATTGCCCACCTGCAAATACAACTGCGGGAGGCCAGGGTTAGACTTTTCCCGATGGAACTCCTTCTGTCTCTATAGTGGGTGAATCTGTATAGCTGTCTTCTGAAAGTGACAGAGGACAGGAGCTAGGCATGGAGATATGACTCGATAGGAAGCCACCTCTTCATCGACAGCTGCCCTTTGCTCTACCAGGGGCAACCAGAGCAAAGAGTGACTCATTTTAATACAACTTGAGCAAGACTGATGAGTTCGTCGCAGTGCTAAGGGCTAATCCTCCCTAACACAGTATAAACAAAGCATATAAAAATAAGTGATTTCATCCATTGTATTTAAATAAATGCCTGCTATGTTCTGAAATTCTCAAAGACTAAAGACGCTTTTTGGAAGTTAAGATTGTTGTCTTCTGGCTCACTGCCTATCTTTATCTTGATCATTACAAAAGATTATCATCAATGTACCAATGTATTATAGTTAGTTACTATGTTATCAAAACATTGACTGCAGTTCAAGTCCCAGACAGAGAGACAGACAGCGAGGGAAGATGGCCCTGCCGCAAGCCCTTCTCCTCCATTTTCCTCTTGGGATCTTGGGCACACATGCATACTCATCCAGTGTGAGTGTTTTTAGGCACCAGGGCTAGGACTCGAACCATGATCGACTATGTGGGAGTCCAGTGATGTAACCATTACACCATCTGCTGGTCCCCCAGATACTGTTATTTTGGGTTTTCTGTCACTGGTGGCCACACCTAATCCTAGTTGACACACACTCAGATATTTGCTTACGTTCGGTCTTTGCAGCACGACCATTGGCCCTATGCCTCGATCACAGCCACGCATTCCATCACATCCCAGCCACATTCGGACCGAGGGAAGGCAGAACTGCATTCAATAATATCAAAGAACACTTAGTGTCGGAGGAATTAAATGTAAAAGTTAAATTCAGGAGGAGAAGGGTTAAAGAAACCACAAATCTTTTTTATTCCTAATAGCTTTGATTTATTAAGAGATATTCTAGGTAAGATTTCAAAGTTAACTCTCAAGGTAATTAGACAAAAGCTAGGCCAGATGTCTACACTGAATTCTGGTCTCAAAATAATTACCTTTGTTAATTACCAGTAATTAGTGTCAGCATACAAAACTTTCCTAAAAACCCTGAGAGAGAGAGAAAGAGAGAGAGTTAGAGAAGTAGGAAGAGAGAGAGAATATGAGAATATGAACACAAGCCTTTTCTTGAGGTTAACAAGACCTGATTCAAATTTGGTTTGGAATACTAGGTTTTATAAAAGATCAAATATTTTCTTTCAGTTAGTTCAGGTATCTTTTGCTCCTACTTAGACTTAATTCGAAATGTTGATAGCATCTGTTCTTATATTCTCTCTCTCTTTTATTCACTACCAAAATTATTATTTTCTTTACCTGTACAACTATACCTTTACAACTCTTTCCATAAGAAAAGAAAAATAATCTAGCTAAAAATTGCCCTAGTAGATGTACTTTGTGTTCTTCATGAAGTTTTTCTTTTCTGTCTTTTCTTTTCTTTCTTCCTTTTTTTTTTTTTTTTGAGTTTTTTGCTATAGGGCACTTGTGCTTGCCAGAGGGACAGAAAGTGAGAAATCACCCCCAGGGGGGATGGCCACACTGCAGTCCCTTCTCCTCCATTCTCCTCTCTGGATCTTGGGCACGCACACACACGCGTGCGCCCGGTGTGAGTTTAAGCCACTGGGTCTAGGACTCGAACCGCGGTCGACTACATGGGAGTCCAGCCACATAGCCATTACGCCAACTGCTGGTCCCCCATTTCCTGTTCTTTTCTTGGCCAGAGGCTGCTGGACTTTCGCTCCTAGGAGAGCAGAAGGCTCTCTTGGTGGTTTGTGGAGAACCTAGATTTTCCCAGTGCTTATTGCATTGCTTAGAAATTTGCGTAGTGTCACACTTCCTTTTTTTCTTTGTATAGATAACCCTTTATGAGAACAGAACTATTTATGGATGCATCTATTTGCCCACTCCCTCCTCATTTCATATTTGTTTGGGGCCTTCTTTGCTGTGCTCAGTTTCTTTTTAATATTTAGGGGCACCATTGTCTGGTATTGCCCATTATAACTCATCGGAGATGCAGGCATTTTGGCCTGCAAGTACCAGTGGGAATATGTCACCCTTTAAATCCCCACCACATTGTGTCACATTTGATTCCCACCCACCTGCATCCCCCCACGGTCAATCCACTACACCTTTATGCCATTTCTACTTAAATGTTGACTGCTTTGTCTCCCTCACCAGACAGAAGGGAAGAGCCATGTTTTCTCTCGTTTTTAAAGTGGCCTAAACTTAGCGGACATACCTAGGATGCATGGAACGATTGAGGACTTATCTGTAGGTATGGAATATGCGTTCACAGACATTGCCAGGCCAGAGGGGCCCTTAGTCACACATGTTGGTCCTTCTAAGGGGTCACAAGATAAGGTATTAGGTTGTAGGAAAAGTCGTGATGTATTTTCCTATGTTTGTCTATGCAAAAATGTGTCATGACTTTCAGACCACCCAACAGTTTTTCTCACTACAGAATTTGTGCTTTACTGGTGATTCTCGGGTTTGCTTTTGTCCGTGGTCTATTGTTACTCAAGCTATTGAGCAACTTACCTGATTGCAGATAGAAAAATATTATTCACAAACCTTACTAGGATGGGAAGGAAAGTGAAGTTTGATGATAAAGAACAATAGTTTTATTTTGCTTTTTAAAAAGTATCATGTATAAAGGATTGACTCATGCTGAGAAATACAGATGTTTCTGCTTAGGCATGAGTACTAGCCATCGAAGGGGACCGTTCATGTACTTAGGAAGTGCCTGTTTCTAGAGAACCCCCATTCTACCCATCACTGCTGCACTAAACCCTGATGGCTTTTAGGGGTATACATGTAAATTATAAAGCCAACTGCATTTTTAAATGTATGTTTCCACTCACTGCAAGGTTTAACAGACAAAAAGCTTGATGCATGCTTTAGGGGTTATTTCTGTATGTCAAATGCACACAGACACACTCATATATAGGCATATCTTATTGGCTTTAGGTAAATGGGAACCACATAACCCGGTGCCATTAAATATTTGTGCCCCAGGACCACTGTCCACTCCAGTACGATCAGAACCACTCTGTGTAATTTTAACCTTCCCTTCCACAACTTCCTGTCAGCAATCTATGTTTCCTTTCATCTCATACCTCAAGCGCTGTTCTGAACTGCCCTGCGGCCACGGCGTATTTCTTCTGTCGATAGCAAGAGCTGGCGTCCTTCAGCGCCACCTGAAGCCATTTGTCAATCTGAGGCAGAGAGCTGACGTGAGGCACGCTCACAGGGTCGGCCGTGGCAGCCGCTGGACACGTTGGCGGAGCCCCAGTGGACGAGAGGGACTCGACAAACTCATAGCTCACGTACTCTTCGTCCACGTAGACCAGCTTGGTCTCCACATCCATTACGTTCTTGAGAGGGATGTGAGGCAGAGGCATGGCAAGGAACGGGTGCTCAAACTCCGCGACCCTCGCCTCCTTCTTTCCCACCAGCTTTTCCTCACCTTCCGCCTTCCGTTTAAAGGCCACTTTCTCTAAATCATTGCTTTGCCTTTCTTTGATGCTCTTCGCCATTTTTGTTCTCTCAGTGGTGGCTTCTACCTGTCTGTCTGCACTGGTTTTCTTCGCCTCTCGTGGCGGTTCCAGGATGCTAAATGGGTTTGCTAAGCCGGACATTTTCTTGCTCGTGTTTATCTTTGGAACGGGCTGATCATGATGGACTCCACTCACTGTATTCTCCAAACTCCTACTGCTTCCTGAATCCATTGACCCCACCTAAAACTCCTGTAGTGTTGAGAAAAGGGAACATAATCAAAACAGTTTTTCGAAATTCCAGTGGTTTAAACTATAATCAAATTCATTTACAACAGGGCTTTGTTCATTATAGGCATTTATTGCCTGGGAAGTAAAACTGTTTACGTCATTTGCTGAGTGTTTTACTAGGCAGTGTATGCCTCAGTACCAAAACTCGACAAGTAAGAATTTGTTGAAAACATATCTAGACGCCGTCTTAAAAAATAATCATCTATAGCTGAACGACATGGAATGAATGTTTTTATGGGGGACCCAAACTCATTCAATAAGAAAATCTTATACATAGCCACCCAGGAGAAAAAGACCTAAAAAAAATCCATCTCAATATTAATTTCCTCAGGAAGGCAGGTGGTCTAGAACTCATTATAAAATACACTGCTAACCTTCATAACAGACCTGGGAGTCTAAAGAAGCCACAGCTGCTTCCACTAAAAAGCTTCCAGAAATGCTGTGAGTGCATGGTTTCCTCCCTTTCTTTCTTCTATCGAAAATGAAAATCTCAAGTTTGAACAGCTTTTAAGACAACTATCGTTCAGAACAAACTTTAAAGCACAAGAACATGACCTTCGACCTCATGGCACTGTGGAGGCACATGCTGACCTTGAGTCTACTGAATTCATTTGAGCAGCATTCTTATCAATATGGTATAGTACATAAAGATGAGACATTTCCTAAAGCACTAATGTTCAAAACAGATAGCTGATAGTCTTTTGATTCAAATTTTTCTGCATACTAGCTCTATTTCTATGTTTGTTTCAAAATATAAAATGTTTTAAGAGCTAATAATTACTTAGTATGGTTGGTTCCCATTTTTCAAGACTCTTACCTATCCTACCTGTCCTTAAAATGACTCTGTGGGGTAAATAGGAATGAGGCCAACCCATTTTGCCAAGAAACTAAGTGATAGATGGAGCTGCTTTTCCAAGGCCACGCTGCTGGTCATTGGCAGAGCCTGCCCATTTGGGCTGCTGTTTCCTCCCTGGGACTGCCGCTGCCCAGCTCTGAGCCTGGCGTGCTTCCTCAGCAGCACGCTGCTCTTTAGGACAGCTAATAAACTCACATCAGACCTCAGAGAGATGAGGAAACAGCAAGAAGGGAGGGCCGAGTATGAGGAGAGGAGAGCAATGAGACAAAGCCTAACAATTGTGCTTCTTGTCATCTACAACGATGGTGCCTGAGTCTTTAGTATCTTCTCAAAGCTTATAATTTTGTGAATGTTGTATATGATCTTTTTTTGTTTGTTTGTTTTTAAAGATAGCCATTCACTTTTAGAAGTTTTAAAACCTGCTATATTGTCACCCAGTAGATCTCTAAGGAAAGTAAAGGAACACATGAAATGGGACCCGAGGCTCCAACCTTTGAAGGACTTTGCCCCCTTTATCGTTGTGTCATCCGAAAAAATTTAAGGTCACATGTGAACATAACAACAGCAAAACTATTGCGACAGTATTAACTTATAAGAAAGATCAAATTTTAATCGTTCCCATTAATGGCCATTTTGGTCATTAGTTGGTGAAAGTTCAGTACTAGAATATTATTTCCCCTGTGATTTATACTGACATGATGGAGTTGTGTTTTTATGGGATGAAAAACACCTAAAAGGTCAAAGCTGTTGTCAGTCCATGTCACGCCCAGTTTTGGAGAGCGACATGGATGCGGGTCACAAGCCCACCCACACAGCTTTACTGGGGGCAAGACTCTTCTTGGAATCACTGCCGGCATCCAATACAACTTTCAGACCACTAACGTGGCCATGCAGGGCGGCGAGGGAGACCCGTCTTCACCATCCCCGACCTTCTGTCTTTTCTCGTACTACCTATGATTTAGATGGAGTAAAACTCAGCTTCAGCTCTTGAGTCCAGACCGCTGGTGGATGGACACTCTGGATATGCAGCTCTACCAGTTACTTACTTGTATTTATTTTTTAAATTATTATCATTGTTATTATTGTTATTTTTAGAGGTTTTTGCCTTGGAGCACATGCACTTGCTGGAGAGAGAGAGAAAACACAGTGAGAGGGAAAGTGAGAAATCACCCCCTGGGGGGATGGCCTTGCCACAATCCCTTCTCCTCCACTCTCCTCCTGGGATCTTGGGCACGCACGCACAAGTGCCTGGCATGATTTTCAAGCCACCAGGTGCAGGACTTGAATTGCTGTTGGCCATGTGGGAGTCCAGCAATGTAACTGCTCTATCATCTGCTGGTGCCCCAGTTAGTTATTTGGAGTAGCAGAGATGCAACTCTTGAAACTTAAGCTCAAAATACTTGGCTTTAAGGACCTATGATTTATATTCATTCTTACAATAGACTGTAAAAATGCAAACAAGAAATGGCGGGTGATGGTGAGTTATTCTTCCAGAATGCTCTGGGTGCTGCCAGATAGCTTATCTAAACTCTATTTCAAGCACCAGAGGTTAAAACATCACAGTAACTTGGTCAGTTGTTAGTAACTATTTTTTTTTAGCTTCTACAGTAGCATTATCTGCCTTTGCTGCATTTATTTTATGCCCTTGAATGCATATAAATATACAAAATTATTCTTAGGACTATTTCTTCTGGAGAGTACTTTTTTTTGTCCTTTTTCCTTCCCTCTTTCTCCCTCTCCTTATTCGTTTTCACACTCCCCACCCTATTCGTTCTCTTAACTGGCCCATACCCTAAGCCTTTCTCTCTCTGCAAAATGGAATGGTTTATTGTTATTAAGAAACAGGCTTTGGGACTAGCAGATGGTGTAATGGTTACATCGCTGGATTCCCAAGTAGTACACCACGGTTTGAGTCCCAGACCTGGTGGCTTGAAACTCCTGCCAGATTCATGTCTGTGTATGTCCAAGATTCCAAGAGGAGAATGGAGGAGAGGGGACTGTGGTGTGGCCATCTCCCCTGTAAGGTGATTTTTCGCTTTCTGTCTCTGTCTCTGTCCATCTTTCTGGTGAGCATACGCACTGTATAGCAAAAATCTTTCTAAAGAAACAGAAGAAGAAAGAAACAGGCTTTTGGGTACTTTTCCATCAGTCCTTAAGCCTCTGTTTAAATATCACACATTGGGGACCAGCAGATGACATAGTGGTTACATTGCTGGACTCCCACATGGCCAACTGTGGTTCGAATCCTGGACCTGGTGGCTGGGTGCATGTGTTTGCATGCCTAAGAACCTGGTAGGAGAAGATATTGCAGCATGGTCATCCCCCCGGGAGGGTGATTTCTCACTTTCCCTCTCCCTGCCTCTGACTCTTTCTCTCTCCAGTGAGTACCCAGGCCCTAGAGCAAAAACTTCTTAAAAAAGAAAATCGCATTTTGGTCTTCAGTGTAGTTTTATACAAGAAACAATAGCAGAGGGAAAAATGTGCATATGGTGCACACGGAGAGCTCAGAGGGAATAAATATGTAAGCAAATGTTGAGCTTGCAGACATCTGGAAGAACAATTATTCCAAACTTGTCAAAGGAACAAAAATTCACCCCCCACCCCCTAAATCTAGAATGAATGTCTAAAAAGCGCCCTAAATACACATGCTGAAAAAGTACAGCCAAACCCAACCAATATTTTTCAGTGCTGGTTGCAAATCAAGTGACTTCACGATCAGATATAGAGCCAATTGCTTATATGAAAAGTACTGCATGTGTACAGATGGCTTATGGAGCTGCTTGGTTATAGCTTTATTAAAAATGATAAAACTAGGGGGTCAGCAGGTGGCGTGATGGTTAAGGCGGCTGGACTCCCACATGGCTGACCATGGTTTGAGTCCCAGACCTGGCAGCTTGCTTTCTCACTTTCCTTCTTTCTCTGTCTCTCTCTGGTCAACGTCAATAAAATAAATAAATAGATAAATAAATAAATAAATAAATAAATAAAATAATGACAATGAATAAAATAATTCTTTAAAAAACAAAATGATAAAACTCTATAAATGTAATCTGGAATTCAAGACCTTGCGCCACCTAGGCCAAGTACGTTTCCAGCCTTACTGACTACTCTTTCTGTAAACTACCCTGAAGTCAAGCGGAACTTCTTGTTGCTTTCAGTCTGTCTACCAAGAATTCTCCACCTTCCTGTCCTACCTGCTCAAACCTAGCCCAGCATTATCCATCTCTACCTCCTCAAAATACCGACAGCTTTTATAGCACTTATTTTTTATTAGACATTGCAGTTATGCCTGAATGATTTATTTCTTCCAATAAGCTCCCTAAAAGCAGAAATATGCTTTTACTAATCTTGACATTAGTTCAGTCCTTTGCATAGAGAAGGCATTCAACATATGTTGATCAATATGAATTCTGCGGATCAAAGGCTAATTTACTGGGACTAGCAGATGGTGTAATGGTTACATCGCTGGATTCCCAAGTAGTACACCACGGTTTGAGTCCCAGACCTGGTGGCTTGAAACTCCTGCCAGATTCATGTCTGTGTATGTCCAAGATTCCAAGAGGAGAATGGAGGAGAGGGGACTGTGGTGTGGCCATCTCCCCTGTAAGGTGATTTTTCGCTTTCTGTCTCTGTCTCTGTCCATCTTTCTGGTGAGCATACGCACTGTATAGCAAAAATCTTTCTAAAGAAACAGAAGAAGAAAGAAACAGGCTTTTGGGTACTTTTCCATCAGTCCTTAAGCCTCTGTTTAAATATCACACATTGGGGACCAGCAGATGACATAGTGGTTACATTGCTGGACTCCCACATGGCCAACTGTGGTTCGAATCCTGGACCTGGTGGCTGGGTGCATGTGTTTGCATGCCTAAGAACCTGGTAGGAGAAGATATTGCAGCATGGTCATCCCCCCGGGAGGGTGATTTCTCACTTTCCCTCTCCCTGCCTCTGACTCTTTCTCTCTCCAGTGAGTACCCAGGCCCTAGAGCAAAAACTTCTTAAAAAAGAAAATCGCATTTTGGTCTTCAGTGTAGTTTTATACAAGAAACAATAGCAGAGGGAAAAATGTGCATATGGTGCACACGGAGAGCTCAGAGGGAATAAATAT